GGGATGTGACCCAGATCAATGAGCACAGGGATACAGCCAACCAGGCATCCTCGTGCAGGGATGGGAAGCAAGAGAAATGGGGGCTGTTGGCTTGCAAGGGGGTGGGGGATGTGGAGGGGGGTGCAGTACAGCAAGCACATCCCTTTGTGCTGAGGTCACAACTCTCAGAGATAGCCACGCCACACTGGAAATCCCCTGTTCTCTTCCTTTGTTTCAATTCTTGGCTTCAGAGGAGAACGTCCGCTGTAAGGCAACTCCTCATTCTGCACGCTGCCATTGCCGAAGAAGTCTGACAGTTCATGTTGCTTTCTCCTGTTTGTTTTTCTGTACCACCAGGCTTCTCCAGCAATAGAATTACTGGGAAGAGTTCCCTTCCTGCCTGTACCCAGGAGCTTCCTAGCTACCAGGAAGTGCCCAGCAAGGGGTTCTTCCGGCAAATGTATTTTCAGAATTCCCACTCTGCAGAGCCGGAACAATATTCTTCCATCCTGACTTCTGGTTGGCAGCTGACAGCAGTACCGGGTACTTATTTTGCAAACTCAGCAAAACCTTCTGTGTCCACTAATGAGAGGGCTTCTCACACCGCCTCGGTGGCCTGAACTCTAAGGGATGACAGCTGCGAGGCCACAAGGCTATGTGTTCATGATCAACTGTGGTCGTCGGCTACTTGAAAGGCAATTTTCTCTGACTCACAGAATATTTGGTACACAAGAAAATAAGTTGGCTCTTGGTACACGAATTTAGAATGGGTGCAATTTTCTGAGGATTATGCTAAGGATCTGTGGGATTAAATTTCTAGTAGAGAGATCCATCTTGGTATAAAACTGTCCAAATGAAGTCATTCACTTTCCTGGAAAATCTTCTGTTTTGTTTGTCTTTAAAGACAGAATGTTTCTGGGGTTGGCTATGTAAAATACGTGATGGAAAGGTTAAGGACTTATAAAAGCAGAAACAATAGAAAAATGAGACTATGGAGGTTCTATTTATTGTTACATGTTTTCAACATTCACATTTCTCCCACGGATTTTGGTTATATGATACATATTTTGCCACACCTCAGACTAAAAAGGTTTCAAAGGAAAATGTAACATCTTGTCCTCATAGTTGCTCCTACACCTGATTTCTCTATTTTCACCATCTCTTTCAGCCACCTAGATTCAAGCCACAGTCCTCGAATCCTTCCCCTTGACTGATCCCGTTTCTAATTAGTTTCCAAAATCTGGTAGATTCTACCACTCCATGTCTCTCCCATGGAATATAGCGTAATTATATAACCTAAGCCATGCCCCACTCTAATCCATTCTATACAAAACCTTTTAACACTTCATTAGTGCCTTGTGAGCTGTGTACCAACCTCTCAACCAGGTGTTAAGGGGCCTCCCCAATTGGGCCAATGTGTGTATTGAGTCTTTCTTCCCACCACTACCTGTAGTCCGATCTTAATAACAGTGAAACCATAAACCCTTCAACTACATACCCTTGTCCTTAATGACTCTTTGGTCACTCTGTTTTCTCAGTCTAGACGTTCACCTAACCCTTCAAAGGCCACCTTCCCCAGGAAATCTAAGATCATTCTGACCAGATATACCCTTTCTCTCAAATTTCCACAGTGTGGTGTTTGGGCATTTCTTACCCTGCATTCCTTGTAGTTACTTATGAACTCAATATCCTCCTTGCCTTCTCCTAGATAATCATCTCCTGAGGGCTGAGAACATGGCTGATTCTTGATTGAAGCTCCTGCAATACCCAGGGCACTGCCTTGCATAGAGGAAGAGCTGAGTACATTAAAAATGTATAGTTTCTGTACAAATAAGATACTTCTAACTAAGCTGAAATGCCATGGTCTCCTCTATCGTACCTATTACTGTCAACCTCCAGCAAATGTCTGTCAGCCCCAAAAGATATCACAATAATTGCATAACAGCCTTTCTTAGAAAACAGTAATCATCAGTTAATCCTTGACCACTGGCTAATACTACATGCTTCATTGCAGGGCATTTTAGTCCCTGGTTTAAAACATTTCCAGCTCAATTTAAAAGATGGTTATATGGTAGCAGATGGCAGTTACATTGGTGGTGAGCACAGCATAACGTATAGAGAAGCTGAATCACTGTGTGCTACGCCTGAAACGAATGTAATGTTTTGTGTCAACTATACTGAAAAAATGTAAAACAAAACGAAACAAAACAAAAGTCCCCCAAGATCAATAAATAGTTCAAAATAAACTTCTGTAATAAAAGATAGTTATTAAGAAACTCTTTCGTCGTCATTGGGAATACATGTAAAGGGACCTGAAAAAAGTAACACCTATTGTTTTTAGAAGACCTACTCTGGGTGCACTGATAGTTAGTAGGTGACAAAGCAATAGCTGGGTTACAGGTGTTAAGAACCGCTTCTCCACAGGGGCGCCTAGGTGGCTCAGTCAGTTGAGCGTCCAGGTCTTGATTTCGGCTCAGGTCATGATCCCAGGGTCATGGGATTGAGCTCACGTGTCAGGCTCAGCACTGAGTGTGGAGCCTGCTTAAGATTCTCTGCCCCCCACCCCCACACACCTATGTGCACGTTCCCACCAAAAAAGAAAAAATGCTTCTCTAAAGTGAAAGTAATATGAAAGTCAGGATGAACATATAGGTTTTCCTTGATAATGTTTGCTTATTATACTGTGCTCCTAAAGGATCTGCACTCAGTTACAATGTTAGACTTTGGAGTTTCTTGATGTGTAAATCAGCATGCTTTCAGCTCTCAACAATGAAACCTTCAACTCAAACTGCTCTAAAAAATAATGTTTATGTCTATATCCATATATATATGTGTCCATATATATATATATCCATATAT